CCCCCCCCCCATGCGCGCGGTACCCCTCTCCTCCTCCGCCCCGTTTCCTGCCATTGGGCGCCTGCTTGGCACGCAGGCTACAACCTCCTGGCTGCGCCGCGTCCCCCCGTGCTGGACTTCTTCACCATGATCTTCTCCCCCTAGACGAGGCCAGTCACCTGTCCCCTCCCACAGAGGCAACGCGCTCCCAAGCAGCATGCCCCCCTCCTCTCCCCTGCTTTGTTTGGCCCTTCCTCTCTCCCTCTCTCTCCCCGCCTACACACACACATACATATATATATCTATCTATACACACAGAAACTCGCGTTCACACTCTGCCCATTGCGCGGTGGGAAGGAGGGCCCGGCGGCCGAGGGGGGGGGGGGGGGCCCGGGGGTATGTGCGCGCAGAGCGAAAGCGCCACACGGGGCGCCGATCGTGCCTGCCGAGCCGCGCCGGGGCCGGCCGGATGTACCCACGCTCCTGTGCCAGGGGGGGAAGAGCCCCGCACGCGCATGTGCCTCAAAAAAAACACCGGCCCCGCGCCACGACGCCCGAAAGAAAGGGAGGGAAGAGCAACTAGGGGTATTTATTTTGCATGGCATGCTTTTTCTTTTTTGGCGGTTGGCCGAGGGGGGGGGGAGGGGGCGTGCACACACGCTCCCCCCTCTCACAGCGAGCGAGGGCACGGGGGAAAGGAGGCTATAAGGGGCGCCAGGCTGCAGCGAGAGAGGGGGCAGGGGCGCTGAGAACAAAAAGGCGGCCCAAGACACAAGGCATGTTTGGGCATGTTTTGCCCATTGAGGGGAGGAGGAGGGGGGGGGGGCACGCGACAGCGGCAGCACACAACACCGGTCCCGAGAAGAAAGGACGGGGGAGAGAGAGGGAGAGAGGGACAGGCGCGCGGCGTGGCGAGGCGTGCTCCGAGGGAGGAAGCAATGGCGCGCGGCAATATATACATATATGCGCATAGGTGGGTACACACGCCAGCGCACACCTTCCCCCACTACTCTCTCGGGGGGTGAGGGGAGGGGGGAGGGGGAGGGGGGCAAATCGTGGCAGGGGAAAGGAGGATAGGTACGAGCTCACGACCAGCAGCGGAGGGCGACTCGCGCGCGCGCGCAACAACGACAAGGGGACATATGGGGGACGAGAGGGGCCGGGGGCCGGGGGCCGGGGGCTGTGTGTGTGTGTGTGTGTGGCAAAAGCGCAGGGTGGGAGGAGGGGGGGTGCTTGCGCTTACTCGGGGGCGCGGCGGACGACACCGACCTGGGCCGGGCGGATGGGACGGTCATGCAGGGTGAAGCCCTTGCGCTGGACGTAGGCCACGGTGCCAGGGGCCCACTCGGGGTGGTCCATCTCGAAGAGGGCATCGTGGATGTTGGCGTCGAACGGCTGGCCCATCGGGTCGTGCTGGACGAGGCCATACTTGGCGAAGACCTGCGCGCGCGAGCGGCGGGGGGGGGGGCGCCCGGCAAGAGGGGAGAGAGGAAAGGGAGCGGTGGGTCAGCAACGGGCGAACCGACGACAAAGCACATGGAGAGGGGGAGGGGAAGCGCCGGCGCGGGAGGGGACACACCTTGCGGAGCTCCTTGTCGGCCATGGAGAGGCCCTCGTAGAGGTTCTTCAGGTGGGGGTTGTCGTCGCTGGTGCGCTCGGCCTCGGGAACCGAAGCGAGGGCCAGCTCGAGGACGTCAACGGTCTCGAGGAGCTGCGTGGGAGGCAGAGGCAGAGGCGGGGCCGGGGGAGGGAGCAGGGTGAGTGGCGGCCGTGCCGGTGGCGGAGGGGGAGAGAGAGAGAGAGAGAGAGGGAAAGAGAGCAGGGCGCGCATGCGAATGTGAACGGAGGTGAGGCGGGCGCGCAGGGGGGGGGGGGGGGGGGACGCACGTCCTTGGAGAAGCCCTGGATGGCGAAGAGCTTCTGCTTGTCGACCTCACGGCGGCCGAGCTGGCGGACATGCTCAGTCTCGGCAAGGGCGCGGAGGAACTTGTCCTGTGGGTGGCCGCCGAAGCAGCGGGGGGGGGGGTGCGGGTGCGAGGAAGAGACGGGGTGAAGAACGAGGCGTCAGCACATGGTGAACGCGGGAAGGGGGCACGGGGGAAGGCGAGCACCGGCCAACAGAGGCCGGCATGGGAAAAGGCAGGCACGGACCTCCAGCTCCTTGTTCTGGGTCTGGAGCTCGTTGACGCGGGTCTCCAGGCCGGAAATGACGGCAACGCTCGGGTGATCGGCGACGGCGCCCTCGGCGGCGGCACCCTCGGCGCCGGGCTCAGCGGCGGCGGCGGCGGCGGCGGCGCCACCAGCGGCGGCGGCCTCGTCCGCGGGCTTCTCCCCGGAGGTGTTGGCCGAGGAGGTGGAGAAGAAAGTGCGGCGGGCAGCCGGGGCGATGGCGGCCGCGCGGCGGGCGGCGTGGCCGGCGGTGGCACGGGAGACGATGGCGAGCATGGTGAAGCTGGGGGACACAGGCGCGCGGCCGGGGGAGGAGGGGGTGCGGCACGGTCAGCATAAGAAGGGGGGGGGGGAGGCCGGGCTAGCAGCGGGGGAGAGGGAGGCTGCCACGGGGGCGCGGGCAACGTACAAAAGGGGGAGAAGGCCTGCGGCGATGGGGGAGGGGGGAGGGAGCGATGGGTGACCGTGCGTTCGTACGTGTGTGTATGCGAAGCCCTGGCGGGAGGGGGCCCCGCTCGTGTGGACCCTCTTGAGTGCGCGTGGGAGAGCGGACATCCTCCCACCCCCCATGTACGCCACACGCGCACACGCCTCACCCCCCGAGAGAGGGAGACACACGGGCACACACGGACACACACCGCACGGGGACTTACGCACACGAGAGCCGCCCCCGGCGCCGCACTCCCCCCGGCCAGGGCGGG